TGCCTGTGTGAAACAGCCACTTCTGCCAGTCCTGCTTCCACATCTCTCCCTCTGAGGATCGAGAGCACTCCTCAACACGTGTCTTGTGTGCAATGGCCTTCTCCAAGTATTTCCAAGGAAACTGACCTGCGGCAGTGCTTTTCCCCCAAGTTCAGTGTCACAAGCTTGGAGGGGGTAGTGACAACTTGTTAGGATTCTGGTCTGGTCTGACCACAGATGACTAGGTTGCTACCTGAATTTGGTCACTGTTGGTAAATCAGGGGGTACTCCTGATGTCCTCTCTCTGAGAAATCTTGGTGATGTTTGTTGAATCTGACTGAAGAAGATGAAAGATGCTTGGAGTGCTTGGAAGTAGGCTTTTGTTGTTGTTGCTTGTTTTGTTTTGTTTTGTTTTCCCAAGGGAAACACCAAAAAGCATGTTTGGGTATCTGATAGTGTAATTCCCAAATTAGAAAAACTAAATTCAAAAGTTTGCACTGCTGGGCAGGAGAAGGCCAGCATCACACACACATTCAAAAAGGCATCTTAGAACTCAGTGGTCATAGAAATAGAGTCTGCTCTCTACTGATAGGTAAGCTGGATTTTCTAAAATAGTTTGTGCTTGTGTCTCTGTGAGTATAGACATGCCACATATGTGAATGTGCTCATGGAGGCCAGAATAGGGCATCAGATCCCTTGGAGCTGGAGTTACCACCCAATGTGGGTTCTGAGAGTCAAACTCCAGTCCTTTGGAAGAAGTGTGTATGCTCTTAACAGCTGAACCATCTCTCTGGCCCACATTCTTCTTTCTGAGTAATTTCCCTATGTATGTTTGTTAATTTATAAAATGAATATAACCTGAAAATAATTAACAGCTTCCTGTTGATCTAGTGAGTGTCCCTATGAGATGAAATGGTAAAACTAATTTTTACATTATTTTTAAATTAAAACAATCTTATTTTATATACCAATCCCAGTTCCCTCTCCCTCCTGTCCCTCCTACTCTCTCCACTATCTCCCCATCCCACCCCCATCCATTCCTTGAAGAGGGTGAGGCCTCCCGTAGAGGATCATCGAAGTCTGTCACATCATTTGGGGCAGGACTGAGGCCCTCCCCACTGTACCTAGGCTGAGAGAGTATCCCTCCATAGGGAATGGGCTCCAAAAAGCCCGTCCATGCACTAGGGATAAATACTGGTTCCATTGCCAGAGGCCCTATAGACTGCCCAAGTCCCCCAACTGATATCCATGTTCAGGGGGACTAATTTGGTCTTATGCAGGTTCCCTAGCTGTCATTCTGGAGTCTGTGAGCTTCTATTTGCTTGGGTCAGGTGTTTCTGTGGGTTTCCCCAACATGGTCTTGGCCCCTTTTCTCATCACTCCTCCCTCTCTACAATTGGATTCCAGGAGTTTAGCTCGGTGCTTAGCTGTGAATCTCTGCTTCTGCTCCCATCAGCTACTGGCATGTAAGATAGTCATCAGTCTCATTATAGGGGAAGGGCATTTAAGGTAGCCTCTCCACTCTTGCTTAGATTCTTAGTTGGGGTCATCCTTGTGGATTCCTGAGAATTTCCCTAGTGTCAGGTTTCTCGTTAAGCCCATAGTAGAACTACTTTTTTTTTAAAAAGTTTTTTTTGGCTGGGTGTAGTGGTGCATGCCTTTAATCCCTGCATTCAGGGGGCAGAGGCAGGTGGCTCTCTGTGAGTTCAAGGCCACCCTAGTGAACCCTAGGACACCCAGGACTATGTAGACAAGAAGATGAGACCCTGCCTCTAAATAAATAAACAACAAAAGGCAACAAAGTTTTGTGGACTATTTCGTTAGAGTTGGAGGATGTTTCATATCAAGAGAGAAGTGGCTGCATTTGAAACAGTATTGATTTGTAGGCTTACCACAGTCTGCACTTCTGTCCCTCCCCATGCGTGGTGCTCTTAATCATGATGAATCAGTATGGGAACTAAAACCAGGGTCTCTAAGGGTCAGTATTCTCAACTGCACTCAGAGACCTCACTTAGGGTGCTTAACTGCCTCCCTCATTGTATTCCTCAGCTTTACTCAACACCCATAGTATTTTTTACTAGGCACATGCATGTATCTGGGCACCAGGTGACATGCCTCTGACTAAGGAGTCCAGCCATGAACCTGCAAGACTCATTTGCCTTCCATTGCTGCCTTTCAGATACCAGCTTTCTAGCATCTAAAATGTAGTGCTTTCGGGATAGCGAGATGGCTCAGTAGTTAAGAGCACTTACTGCTTGCTCTTCCAAAGGACCTAGGTGTGGTTCTCAGCATCCCACACAGTGTATCACAACCCTCTGTCACTCTTCTAAAACAGAAAAAAAACAAGAATAGAGTATGTCTTGTTTTTCTAAATTATTTATTTTTATTTTACATATGTTTCTAACTTATTTATTTATTTTTATTTTACATACGTTTTGCTTGCATGTATGTCAGTATGAGGGTGTTGGACCCCCGGAACAGGGGTTACAGACAGTTGTGAGCTGCCATGTGGATTCTGGTAATTAAACTGGGTTCTCTGAAAGAGCAGCCCGTGCTCTTAATTGCTGAGCCATATCTACAGCCCCCAGAATGTGTTTCATTTTTTAAAAAGCAATTTTTTCTATATATTATAAAGCAACCATTGATAAGAAAAAAGATTGCTAGCTTTTTCCACTAATTGTAAAATTTTGGTTGAATGGACTTGTATTATACTATTATTCACATTATTATGTGTTACTTACTCATAAGACATAAGGCCATTGTGGAAGAAGGGAATAGCTTTTGTTGAGTGCTTATTATGTTCCAGGCACTGATAAACTGTAAATACATTGTTTCATTAAACCTCTTCGATTGTTCAAAAGAGGAAAATGAAGCATAGAGATTAAAAGAATACCAGGTTCAACGAGGGGCTTGAGGCAGAACAATTTTGAGTTCCAAGTCAGCTTGAGCTGCATAAGAGACCCTGTCCAAATAGCAATGTTAAAATTAAAAAGACAAAAACAGGCCCATAGATCTTGACTTGGTAGGATTAGAATTTAAGTCTTGGCACGCTGGCTTCAGATTCTGTGCCCTAAACAATTTTGGTATGCTTCAGTGGCTTTCGGTTTTGACGGAAGCCTGCAGAGATATATGTCCACAGTGCAGAGCCACACAATTTTGTCATTGAAATACCAATTTTACATAATTCAGGCAGTGTGATCTGCATTGATCCTGAGGTTGTTCTTCTTACTCCCACCCAGCCATTCATCTGTCTGTCCATCCCACATTCCCTATTGGAAAATACTGCAGGGCAGCCTTGTGGTATTTTATTCATTCACTCATCAGATACACATTAGCTACTTTCTCCATGCCTATCACTGTGCAGGAGCAGAGGGTGCTGTGTGCTGTGGTAGACAAAGTAGACCAGGTCCTTGTTCCTATGCAGTCCCCAGCCAGAACTGGAAACAAAATTGAATGTGAACACTGCCCCCTAGGCTTAAAAGAAAATAGGAAGAAATCTGTTGCAATCAAGCTTATATTGCCCAGTAAATATATATCTATTTATTAATGTCAATTAAATTTCTATAGAAAAGGGACAGTGTTTATTGTAGCATTTTTCTTAATAACAGAATGGTGTTTTCAGGCAGTGAGTTTCCAGTACATAGTAATTAAAATAATCTAGTGCCAGCTGCGGAGAAGGCTCAGTAGATGATAAAGCCTTTCTGTGTAATGTGAGGACCAGTATTTGGGTCCCTGGCACCCAGGTAAATATGGGACAGGTATAGTAGTCTGCCTAATCTCAGTACTTAGGAAGCAGAGGCAGGGACGCCCCAGAGCAAACCAGCTAGCTAGGCTACCTGAATTAGCTAGCTCTGGGTTCAAGTGAGACATCTTACCTCAGTATTGATGACAGAGAGTGGTCAAGGGAAACACTGATGTCAAACTCTGACCTCCATACATATGTGTAGACAAGTATACATACACCCTTGAAAATGAACAGACCACACACAAATAACCTGTTGTACTGTGTATCAGTCTGCATATACTAGCATTTAAAATTAAGTTGAAGTAGTGTAATAAGAATTGTCTAGCCGGGCGGTGGTGGCGCACGCCTTTAATCCCAGCACTCGGGAGGCAGAGGCAGGAGGATCTCTGTGAGTTCGAGGCTGGGCTGGTCCGACAGCCTCCAAAACAATACAGAGAAACCCTGTCTCGTAAACCCCCCAAAAAAGAATTGTCTAGTACAAGACAAAGGCATATTACATACTGCAATACCTCCAAATCAATACACAATACAATCAGTGGAGTAAAGTTTCAAAATACCTGTAATAAGCCTGTATGTTTTCAAGGGCTTAAACATATACGTATTAAGTATGGGAAATTTTTCAAGGAATGACACAAACCAACTTTAGAACAACGCCTGTCACTTGCTGAAATAGAAGGAAAGGTTGAGACATTAGCACATTGATAATTAACAATTATCTTTTAATTGAATTTAGAGTTAGCAAGTATGGCAAAATTTAATTGTTAAGTCTGAGTGCATCATTACCTTGTTTCTTACTATGTAAGTGTGTAATTAAAGTTTATCAGGTGAAATTAATGTGCTGGGATGATTTTCTGTTTCTAGTGCTCTCAGATTTCTATGTAGAATGTCTTTCAAAGAAACATAACCTAGTCTTCTAAGTTGTTCTGTGGCTCTGGCTTCCAGGACATTGAGTCTCACCAGCAGAGGGCGCTGCTCCATAGAGAATGCGAGGTTAGGGTGACCTCTCAGCTAATCCCGATTCCCTGTTCTGCCCTGGTAAGGGAAAGAGTCATAGACTAAGGGTCCTTTTATTTCTGCTTGTAAAAAGGGTCACAGAATCCAGCCCTCTAGACACATTATGCCTCTCTTAACATTTGTAGTGTTGGCTATGTGTAGCTTGAAGAACAGTAAGAAGTCGCATATGCCATCACATCCAGCGAGTCTTCCTCAGATGTGTCAGAGTGTTTCTGTTGTTGTTGTCATTGTTTTTAAGAAGACAATGTTCCTTGTTCTCTAGATGGAAAAAGATTACTCTTACCTGAAGGAGGTCTGTGATCATCAAGCAGAACAACTGAGCAGAACCAGCCTAAAATTACAAGAGAAAGCTTCAGAGAATGACGCAGAAATCAAAGACATGAAAGAAACCATATTTGAATTGGAAGATCAGGTGGAACAGCACCGTGCTGTCAAGTTACACAATAATCAGCTCATCAGTGAGCTGGAAAGTAAGTGAAGTCAAACCTGGAGAGGTGCAGCAGGTGTGAGTAGACACTGGAATGGTGGGTGATGGGAGGAACTTCTAAGGATATGTGTGTCGGGCAGGGTGTTGGAGAGCTTGTCTTTGATCACTATAATCTCCCAAGAGAACAGCATTTAGGAGACAAGCAATAATCTCTGAAATTAAGTAAAAAACCTGGGTAACAGACGGTAGATGCAAGAGACCACAGCTCTTGCAAGAGGGCAGGTACAATTTCAAAGTGTTAAATGTACCTTTGCTGCATCCTGAGTCCTCCATCGCCAGACAACCAAACCTACTTTGGATTCTGCTGTGAGTAGGATAGGTTTTTCTCCCTAAGGATAACCTTCAGGATTTAAGAGTGTTATTTAGAGTAAATTGTTCACGGCTTTTTTCGACAGTGTGTTGTCTTCAGGATCTGATACATGAGAACTAGGTGATTGACTCAAAGTGAAACAACTAATATGTGCCTGTGGTTCAAGTTCAGCATGTTTCCCATTGATGGAAGAGTATGGGATTTCTCACAGATGTTAGACACTTGGTTTCCGAAGAGGCATCAGTATATGGCTTTATGAAGAAGCCACTGCTTTGAATAGGGAAAGACTTTTTTTTTCTTTTTGACACAGGATTTCCCTGTGTAGCCCTGGCTGTCCTGGAACTCCCTCTGTAGACCAGGCTGTCCTTGAACTCACAGAGATCTACCTGACTCTGCCTTCCAAAGGTTTGTGCCACCACAGCCCAGAGGGAAAAGACATTTTTAAAGAGCTTGAACATCCTTTGCTTTTGTTCACATTAGCCTTATCAAATATCATATCTAATGAGCTTTGCCTTTTGTAATAAAAGACTTTTTAAAAAAGTTTTGTATGGCCTTAGTTATTACTGGAAGTCGATTAGTTGCCTCATAAATTTTCCTGCCATGTATGTACAGCCAGGCTCATTACTCACAGATTCTGTATTTCTGAATTTATCTACTTACCTAAATGTACGTGTACCCCCTAGTTTGGTACCCATAACACCTTCCTGGTTTGGTTACATGCAGAGAGAGAAGAAAGGTCAGCCAAAAAGTCAGAAAACCCTATTATCAGCAGAGATCCAGCTCAAGAGACTTTTGCTTTCTGAATTCTGATACTATGTACATGGTACTCTGTACAATTTTTTTGTTATTGTTGTCAGTTTGTTTTGTTTTTTTCAAGGCGGGCTTCTCTGTATTGCTTTGAATCCTGTCCTAGAATTCACTCTGTAGACCAGGCTGGCCTCGAACTCACAGAGATCCGCCTACCTCTGCCTCCTGAGTGCTGGGATTAAAGGTGTGCACCACTAACGCCTGGCTTTTTTGTTTTTTCTTAAAAAATGTTTTTACGTTTTATTTATCTTGAGTATGGAGGTCAGAGGTCAGCTTGTGGGAATTGGGTCTCTCCTTCTACCATTTGGTTCCCACGGATCAAACTCAAGAGCTGTCAGGTTTAATGGTTAGTGCCTTTGCCCACTGAGCCGTCTCTCCAGGCCACAGGTGTTCTTTACATGCTTTCCCATAAACAAAAAGCAAAACAAGCCAACACTTTTGTACTTGTTTTTCATGATTTTTGATATGATGCTAAAGTGCTGTCTACTGTCCTTAAGTGCAGGAAGGCTGTAACATACTTACAGATATAGGTGTGTTAGAGAATCTTGGTCAGGCTTGAACTTTTGTGATTGTGAATGTGAGTTCAGTGTCAACGAGTCAGCAGTCCAGGATATCCAGACAGAGGAGCAGGTCATTCTCCAGTCCTAACGTGAGGCGTCTCTAAAAAGTGCTGGGGTGATATCTGTTATGCACAGTAGTACATCTTCATTGATGTTGAAGCAATGGAAAGGAAGGGAATGCGAGGAGCCTTATAAATTCATGGAAATGAAAGCCGGTAGCCAACAGCGTCCTGGACAACAGTGTTGCAATGCCAGAGACAAAAGGAATTCATCATGGCATAGCCCATGGCTAGGAGAATGTTAAATTCTTCTCATTGTATACCCATAATGCTTAAGAGAAAGAATACTTAAGGCAAGAAGGTTGCATAGGTCAGGAAGCTACCGAAGAATGTTAAAAGTGCCTGTTCAGTATTGGGGGAAAAAATGGCAGATGAGGTTCCTGGTGCTTATGGGACTGGCCTGTTTTACAAGGACTCTGGCATGCAGAGCTATAGCATGCAAATAATATTTCAGATGATGAAAAACGTGACCGGAGGCTTACAGGAATCCAACATTGTGTTTCCTTGGAAAGCAACAGCCCAGTATTCTCTAGTTGAGAGAGCATGGTGGGAGCTGATTGTGTGCTCTACCTGGATTAATTGGCTAGTGTCAGAGTGACAGTGCTCAATTGCCTTTGTCATGAACCATAGAGCATTGACATTCAGTGTCACTCAGTCTCCATAGTCATTCTTGAGAGTGCAATTAAATATCTGGCCACTGTCTGTTTCCAAACATAGCACCCTCTTTATAAAGAATAGGGTCAAAGGAGACAAGTCCTGTTTTGTTTTGCTTTGTGATTTAGCACTGTGGAGAATGTGGTTGTATTGTCACTAAAACCTTAAAAGTCAGCCCAGACACACCAAGAAAACCAGTGTATAATTAATGTCCAGAGCAAATTTCAGGACCACATCTAGTGATTATATCATAATATATCTTAGACTGAAAATAACACCGACTGTCTTCTGAGAAGCTTTTAAACTCCTGTTAGGGATATCAAGGTATTATTAAAGTGTATTTTTGTCAGGAAGACGGGCACTCAAATCCAACCTTAGATTAATCCTTTCCTCCATGAGATCCTTGAGAGAGACAGACAAAACAAGAAATAAAGGAGGGGACTTCTTACTCTGTGTCAGTGACCCTAAACTCAAACCCCCAGGCCTCAAAAGCTGGTTCAGAGCCTCTGGGGCAGGATGTTACTGTGTGGATTCCACCCTTCTCTGGAGATAATGTGTCATAGCCTTCTCCTCAACCCCCTCTTTTTAAATTTTTATTTCTTTCTTTTTGTCTTTCTCTTTTTGTTCCTTCTTCCCCCTCCCCACCTTTTATTGAGAGAGAGAGAGAGAGAGAGAGAGAGAGAGAGAGAGAGAGAGAGAGAGAGAGAGAGAGAGAGAGTCACATTGTGACTCTTGTTACACCTGTGTACCATTATGTCTGGCTTCATTCATACCTTTAATAGACAAATACTAGGAATTTTTGTTTGGTGATTAGAGCATTGATCCTTACATTTAAATGGTAGTGATAACAGTGTGGAGAGAGCTGGAGGCAAGGAGAACAAGGGACACAATTTGTTTTTAATTATTGAAAGGTGGTTGTGCCACCTGTGGAGCTGCTATATATGTGAGCCCAGATCCTGGCTGTCTTCAGAGATTTTGAACCCGTGAGTTTAGAGCTTGTGCTTGCACACCTGTGCCTCATGGGATTCTCAGGGTTAACTGTGGTTAAAAATGGTTGGCCAGCATGGGACTGATCCAGACCCCCTGAATGTGAGAGTCAGTGAGGAGGCCTGGGCAACTTATGGGGCCCTGAGCAGTGGATCAGTGTTTATCCCTGGAATACAAACAGACATCGTGTGTCCTTAACACAAAAAGAGATGCTCTCTCAGCCTGGTCTCTTAGGGGAGTGCCTGGACCCTACCCTGAGTGAATGACAGACTCTAGATATCCCCTATGTGGAAGGAATTGGCAATAGGGTAGGAGGCTGGGGGGGATGCTGGGGGGGTGCGGGAGGAGGGGAGGGAGAGGGAACTGGGATTGATATGTAAAACAAGCTATTTAAAATTAAAATAATAAAAAATCTAAAAAAAAAAGAATGGTGACTCTCGAAGTGAGTTTTGAAGTCAGAGGAGTAATAACCAGTAGACTCCTTTCTTACACCAAAGCCCTCCAAATCTTGGTAATAAAGGTGTTCAGGAAGCTTGTGTGTGACTAGCAGAGAAACCCGAGACAAACGTATAAATTGTATGGCTGTTGAAGCCTCCTGCCATAGTACTACAAGATAGTGTATACAGCTTACCTTCTGAGGTTATAACCTAAGTAAGCACTGCTGACATGACATCCAATGCCCTATTTTTGAAGGCTCTGCTCCTAGCTCTGTATTCAGAGTGCTCAAAGCATAATTTACTGGAGAGGGATGGGTTTTAAGCCCGTTGTCTCCGGGGCTGTCCTCTTGCTTTGCAGCTCACCTTGTCCAGGAGCCTTGCAATGCTCTAACTTCTGTCCAACTCATTTACTTCTAGGCAGTGTGATCAAGCTGGAGGAGCAGAAGTCAGACCTAGAACGGCAATTGAAGACCCTGACAAAACAGATAAAGGTGAGCCTCAACCAGGAGCCTCCTCTGACATTATTCCTGTTTTTGGTTGGAAACATTGGGAAAATACCCTGTCATTCTCTCCAGGATTCTTCTCCTAGAACAGTGGTTCTCAACCTTTCTAATGCTACAGTCTCTTAATACAGTTCCTCATGTTGTGGTGACCTCCAACCATAACATTATTTCACTGCTATTTTATAACTGTAATTTTGCCACTGTTATGAGTTGTAATGTAAATATCTGATGGTCACAGCCCACAGGTTGAGAACTACTGTCCCTAGAACATCTTCAGGCCATAAAGTTGAGTTGTACATTCTTTCTGGCAATAAATGAAACTAAAGTAATCAGTTTTTAATTGAAAAACTCTAGGACACCAAAGAGTTACCTCTTGTGCCTCTTCTAAGTCATGAGACACCATTAAAACCAAGTCTTTCTGCTTAATTTTCTTCCTCAGTAACTGATGTTAGGATTCAGGAACTCCTACGTAGAGACCCCAGCACCCTGCTCAGTGTCTGAGGGACATGTGGATTCTGTCCGTTTTTTAGGAAGAAACTGAGGAGTGGAGGCGGTTCCAGGCAGACCTGCAGACTGCAGTGGTGGTGGCCAATGACATCAAGTGTGAGGCTCAACAGGAACTGCGCACTGTGAAGAGGAGATTGCTGGAGGAGGAAGAGAAAAATGCCAGGCTGCAGAAGGAGCTGGGGGACATACAGGGGCATAGCAGGTGGGTCACAGAAAGAGCTACATTTTTGTGAGTCTAATGGGCACAAAGCCAATGCTTTGCTTCTCTCTTGATGTCTGTGTGTGTGCGCGTGCGTGCATGCGTGTGTGCGCGTGCGTGTATGTGTGCGTGCGTGCGTGCGTGCGTGCGTGTGTGTGTGTGTGTGTGTGTGTGTGTAGCAGGTAAGTTGCTGAGTCGTAGAGGTATGGGATGCTTTTGTGCCTCTCTGTGTTAGGTTTTGTTATGTCGTTTCTGTACCACTACCATCATCACTATACAACTAAATACATTCTGTCAGAGTTGCTTCACTTATATGTGAAGGAAATGATCTAGACAAATGTCCCCTTATGCTTAAAGAAGGGGCACCTGTTGGATTTTAGTATTTATCAACATAGGGAAAGCGCACTCATGAATACTAGGTTACGTACATCAGGAAAAGCTAAAATGACTTTGAACGAGAACTGCTATAAGATAAAGGAGCCATTCCTACCAGCCCAGGGCTGTGCCTCCTGATTGCTGATCATGTGCTATTTCCAAAAGGCCTTGACTCCAGAGGTGGAGGCACAAGGACAGAAGCAGGCTGAGACTAGCGTGGTCTCAATGCCAAGTCCAAGCCAGCCAAGTCTACCTTACACGGTGAGACTCTGCCTCAAACGAAAAGAAACAACAAAAGTCATGTTTCTGCTGGGGCCAGTGGTGACTGACACCTGTAATCCCAGCATCTGGAATCCTATAAAAGACAGTGAGTTCACTGAGCTTGCTTCCCAGCACCCATATCAGGTGACTCATGATACCTTAGCCCAATCATGTTTAAGAGGAAGGTGTTCCTAAAGCAAACTTGAAGTGGATGATTATATAAAGTTTAAGTGGGGGGCTGAAGAGATGGCTCAGCGGTTATGAGCACTGGCTGCTCTTCAGAGGACCCTGGTAGGATTTTCAGCAACCACACAGAGGCTCACAACCCTCTGTAACTCCAGTCCCAGGGGAGATTTTATGTCCTCTTGTGGCCTCAAAGGTTACCAGGCATGCACACATATCAGCATGTAGACAAAATACTCATAAAATGAAGCTTAAAGTTGTGGGATTTACAAACAAAATTATAAACATTTTTGGCATTCAGTAGTGTGGATATCTTCCCCTAATTGACAGTCAGTATTCTTAACTTACAGAATTTTGAGTGTCGAATTTCCAAATGTCTTTCAAATATAAAATACTGTTTTTTAAAGTCAAATTTAATGAGTTCTAAATATTAGTCTGTGGAGGTTGCTTTAATCTTAATGCTTCCTAGGATTAGAAGGGTGGCTTGTTGACTTACTTGATGAGCCTTGGGGTCTGATTAATGATCATGAGTTCACAACATTGGGAAAGTTAGATTCTTTTCACAATTCTGTTTCTTAGTATTCTCTTGGATTGTCCATCAAATCTGTTTCAGTTATGCCTTGTTCCTTTGTTGGGCTACAGAAGGATTTGATAGGTGTTTAGCTCTACAATTCTCTTGAAAAGTCAAGACCGTTATTGTTTCATAGTAGCAAGTTTACTTTCTGGCCATCACAGAATGTAATGGGTTTTTTGTTGTTGTTTTTAAAATTGAAGTCAGAAGGAGAATAGGAAGTAAAGGATTTCTGATGTCCCCTCCTGAGATGATCACATGATCCTTCTGTTTGCCTCTGTGCCTGCTTTTGTTGTCTGTCTTGCTTCCACATTATATGTCTTTGGAAGAGGAACTACACCATAACATGCATTGCTTACTATTTGCATTGTTTCAAAGATTAATGTTTTATAAAACACGGGCTGTACATTTCTGTGGTGACTATGCATAGATTATTGCACAAGATACTGTGTTTCCTCAGTAGATTCTAAGATTCCAGCTGAAACTCTGATGTAATAGGAAACCTCTGCCTGTATCCTGAGCGTGTAGGCCTCTATATGCTACATTCTGTCCCCTTAAAAACACATGCCATTTTTTGTTTTCCTGAACATTTTAAACCAACCACCCAAATCTAGCAAAACCTTTCAAAACTTTAGGACTGACAACAGTCAGAGCAGACATGTTACTGAAAACTGTTAGACTTCAGAGTGGGTTTGCCTGTCATTGCATTTGACAAGACATGGGACAACTGCTGATGATAGGTTCTTATGTGATTTTATACTGCTCAGAAGCTGCCCCCTTGAAGAATCGACTTTTTGAAAATTACTTGTTGGTAACTCAGTTCCCTCCTGAACCTACCATACGAGCAAAAATGGAAGCCAGCCCGCACCCTCAAAACTCCCATACCAACTTAATGTCTCCATCTTGGTGGAGCAAGTTCTTGCCTGGCATTCATTTGACTTTGTCAGTCATCTCATAAGAACCCAAAGTTCATTCATGGATGAGACACAGCCAGAGAACTTGCAGAGGATCCTCTGATGAGGTCCTCCAAGTGCAGCTGAGAGAAGATGAGAGCATCCAAAGTGCAGCACAACTATAACATGGGCTAGCAATTCATGCTCTCATTCTGGGTATATGGGCATGCAAAGGAATCATTGTAGAATGAGGCTGATGGGTGAGCAAATGAGGAGCCTGGGTAGGAGTACAGAACAGCATTTGTTATCAACAGCTAAGTACAAAGTGGGATGTTATTTAACTCATTAGTAATCTTTAGTCCCATTATATTTTCAAGTGTGTTTATTTATTACTGTGCTTTGAATGAGTTGAGAGTGTTTTGTTTTTAGCTCAAGTAGTTCTCCCACCTCATCTCCCCTAGTATTTAGAACTATAGGCACATGCCATCACTCCTTTAGAGTAAGAATAATTGATCTTATTCAGGGAATTGCCAGCTATGTTAGTGACATCTTTATCCCATCCTCTGGAGACAGAGGATAAATAGTTCAAGATCATCCTTGGCATCATAGTGAATTTGAGGCCAGCATGAAATATATGAGACCCTATCTTTAAAAAAAGGCATTAAAATGACACCTAGAAAAATGGCTTAGTATGTAAGTATGCTTGCTTTGTAAGCACGAGAACCTGAATTCAAATACCCACTAACCATATAAAAAAAAGCTGATCATGGGCACAACTAAGGGGTTGCAATCAGGTGGGTCCCAGGAATTCAGTGGCTGGCCAGCCTAGCTGAAAGAGCAAGCTTCAGGTTCATTGAGAGATCCTGTCTCACAAGAATAAGGAAGAGAGAGCAATAGGGAAAAACATTTGACATCTTTGTCTAGCCTCTGTACATACAAGCACAAGTGAGCATATATGCACACACATATATACACACACCACATATAGTTACCCCTCAAATGTATGTATACATAGACATACACACATATATATGTATATAGCACATATACATACATATATACATATATGCGTATATGTCCCCATATATCTCAATATCTTAATACTAATATAATGATATTGTTAGTGCATTCCCTTTTTATGATGCCAAAGGGTTTAATTCATAAGGTAAAGCAATTGTGACTATTCAAGCATGAATTATTCTAACAGCAGCAGTCGATCATAAAACAGAAATTGCATGAGCTATAAAGAGAAATGTGCAAAAGTCACAGAGGGTAATCATGCTCTGTAAACTCATTCTTGCAAACAGCTGGCACTGACCCCTTTCCTGTGTGGCTCTACCTCTGTTTAGATTAGGAACTATGAGTAGGCAGTATTTTTGGTACTTTCAAGCACTCCCATTCTGAGGCTGGTTGGTCAGCTGACCTTTCTCTGTTGAGTCAGAAATCCAAGGACCAGCCCTGCCATATCTCCTGTGCAGTCCTTGGAACTTAAGGATGGCCATCTCCAAATATGACTTGCAAGCCTGATATTTTTCTTCCATAATTTGAATATGCTTAGGTGTTTTTATTAATGGATGTGAAAATGTTGTTTTACTGACATATAAATTAATGAATGAAAGTGTAAGACATAGCTTTCTCACTCATAGCTCCTTCTCTGTATGAACAGTTAAGAGATAGGCAGTGAAATGAAAACTCATTCAAATTAAAACATCAAGTCTTGGATAAGATGTACCTCATTGGTATACTGCTTGCTTAGTGTGTAATAGATAGATAGGTAGGTAGGTAGGTAGGTAGGTAGGTAGGTAGGTAGGTAGATAGATAGATAGATAGATAGATAGATAGATAGATAGATAGATAGACCGACCGACCGACCGACCGACCAAGCCAACAGATCTGTTTCCTAAGAAGTTGAATACTGGAGTTCAGCAGACATAGAGAAACACACAGGCATCTCAGTGTCTGGATTCCGTGGAGCCATATACAGCCCTCTAACAAAAAGTGTTGATGATGAATAGGACATGTACAGGTATCATGAATAATGGCAGAAATTATTTTTAGGATGGCTTGTCCTATTCATATAAAATTTATCATAATAGTACCAATAGGCATCCATGGAAGACATCTTCAAAAGAAAAAAAAACTACTAAAAATACTAAATACTTGCTCCTGATTTTTATAGCATTAACTTCTAAAATAAAATGTTTCAGATTCACATGTGTTGATCCTTGAGTCTCCCTGAATTACACATTGTCCTCAGTGCACACGTCGTCCTCACTTAAGTGAGCAGCATAGTAGCTCTGCTGGAGCTGGCTTTTAATCTGAGTTGTGCACTAATGTTGATTGTGTATGCCTGTGCCACCCTGTGTTGTCCTTAAAGCTTTAACATTTCACAGCCACACAGCCTGTCTTCTTTCTGTAGCTGCTGCAGGAAGAGAAGTGCACATAATGGAGGTATAATGCTCTTGTGTGACAAAGATGTCTCTTGGAGCTCTCTGTGATACTGAATCCCTGCCCTTGGTGGAGAGACCAGTTCCTAAGCAGTTTCTTACTTACCTTAGCATTCCTGGGACCACGGGCATTTCATTTGGCCATTAAAATAGAAATTGATCATCTCCTATGGTCTTCACAGAAAGCATAATTCAGTCACTTGCATATGTTTTCATAGTTAAAATATGCAGCTACAACTTTAGATATGTATTCAGTGATGTTTTGGTCTCTCT